TCGAGGTGAATAACACATTTTGTTATGTGAATAAAAACGATTCCGGAGGTTGGAGACAGTCAAATGCAAACTAGAATCACTGATCAAAATGAATGTGCATTCAGTTGGGCAGTCAGTCCTTTCTTACTGTCTTACTGAGTTCCAAGGTCTTGCTAGTTTTGTTGTTTTTTGAATAGTTTGTGGTTTAAAACCCTTTGCTGGTGAAGGGGCTGGGAGCTGACATGCCTCAAAGTGCTCAACAACTAAGTAAGCATTTTGGTCAGTTGCTTTCCAAACCCAGAAATACTGGACTGAGATGTTTCTTGCATTAAACGCAGTGTGACCTGATTGTACCAGGTTTAGTGGCATCAAGACACTGTAAAATGAGGATACCAGGCTGTGATTCACAGGAGTGTGGTGAGCATGTTGTTTGTCAGGTCACCCTTTCTCAGAACTTCTGAAGATGCAGAAGCTTTGCTTATTGGTTTTATGGGGTGTTAGCTTGTGTATCTGACTTGCCTGCCTAATTAACATGTCTGCTGGCCTTTGACTGTAAATGCATTATTTGTCCATCTTGCTTATCTCCCAGGGATAAGTGTCCAGAAATGTACGGTATCAAAGATGAAATGTTTGCAGTCTGTCTCCTGATAATCAAAGTAAAGCACTGGTTTGTACAAAAGATCAGGGCCAAAAAGCCCTTGATACTTCAACCATGTGTCAGTTTCCTGAAGCTGAGACAAGACACAGTAGCAACAGTTAGGAACGCAGTCGAGTGTTTTGCTTGATTCTTTTTTCTGATCATTCTTGTTGTTCTTAACATTCTTAGTCATTGGTATTACTGTTGTGTTTGTTTTAACTCCATCAGGTATCTTACAGTAAACTGTCTGAATTAAAGAATCCCCAATGTGTTTATGGCTTCTTTGTAAATGAATTCTTCAAGTACTTAAGGCAATCTTATTGTCTGAAATACACATTCAAAAGTATATTTAGTGCAGTAAAAGTAATTTCATTAATTCAGAGAAATCCTGTGATTTTTCATCTACTCTTATTGTTCAAAATCGAAAGCAACTAGTTCTCATTTTGAATTGCTCCAAAGGTTTCACCTTGATACTGTATGTTACCCAGTTGCCTATATTTAGCTTCAATGCTAATAATTTCTGCACAGTACTATAGTCAGTATTAGAACTTCAGTTTCGAAGTTATGCTTGGCGTGATCATTGTACACCGTCCCAGGATCACTTACTGGAATGGGACGGTCTCTGCATAGATGGACAGAAGTAATCAGGCCATAGCACAGTAAAGCTCTACAGAAGCTGATTTACTCTGAGCACTGTGATGCAAAGCAGACATCAACATTACAAAGACTTAATGGTCTAAGATCATTAAACAACCTGGTATTCAGATTAGTTTAATTAGTCAGTATCAACCCCCTGCATTCTGATCCGATTCCTTTGTGCCTACTTAATGCTTTTCCCCTGTTACTACTTAGTGTAAGCAATAAAATACATGAGACTGGAAACCTATTTTGTTTTTTCTTCTCCTGTTGCTAGGGTTTCAGAGCTGAAGGGTCATCAGGCTGGAGCTTATTTGCCACTCTGGTAATACGGATTTTGATGGTGTTTAGATATTCCTTATAGACAGGAAAGAAGACTTTCTCCTACTAGTATGAATGTTTTTGCAAATCTGTGTTATGTGTATAGTTTGTTGGATTTATGTTCGTGGCTGGGACTTCTGAAGCAGTGTATGAGAGATCTTTCACGGTACTTCCTGCATCAGCTTTTTATGCTATCTCTATGTGCTGGTTTTGGCTGTGGTAGAGTGAATTTTCTTCACAGTAGCTAGTCTGGGTCTGTGTTTTGAATTTGTGCTGGAAATGGTGTTGATAACACAGCGGTGTGTTAGTTACTGCTGAGCAGGGCTTGCGCAGAGTCACGGTCTTTTCTGCTCCTCATAGCGTCCTTCCAGTGAGTAGGCTGGGCGTGCACAAGAAGTTTGGAGGGGACACAGCTGAGATGCTGACCCCAACTGACCAAAGGGGTATTCCATACCATATGATGTCATGCTCAGCCATGAAGCTAGGGGGAGGGTTGGCCAGGAGGCTACTGCTCTAGGACTGGCTGGGCATCAGTTTGTTGGTAGTGAGCAATTGTTTTCATTTGCATCACTTGTCTTTCTTGGGTTTTATCCCTTTCTCTCTGTTATTTTCCTTTTCATTACAACTTTTAATTAATATTATTTCAATTGTTAAACTGTTCTTATCTTAACCCATGAGTTTTCTCATTTTTACCCTTCCAATTCTCTTCCCCATCCTGCTGGGGGGGGGAGTGAGCAAGCGGCTGTGTGGTGCTAGTTGTTGGCTGGGATTAAACCACAACAGTCTGAAGTAGAAGCAATCTTAAAACCCCCTGGTTTTGTTGCTACTTTAATCAGGTATCTTGTTGTTGTGCCAATAGCAGTGTTAGTGGCCTGATTCTTTGCTTTTTTGTTTTCCTTGCATGTACTGAGCCTTTCCTAGGGTAATGTGTTTATGGGAGGAGAAATAGACTTCAGAGTGTTCCTGAACACTCTAAGAGTGGGAACGGCAGCCACTGGGTATTTGCTCTTGGTAGGTGGTAGTACTTGCTGTGACAACATAGTCTGAGAAATGTGGGTTTAATAATGGCACTGGGAATTAGGTGGTTTATATTGCAGCATTCACAGTGCACTAAATTTTGCTCTATATCTGGATATTTTGCTTTTGAGGTGCAGTTTTTTTAAGATCTTGCAATAATGACAGTAATTATGACTATTGACAATGAATACAGTGCAACCATGCTTTATCATTTTATCAAAAGGGAGGAGCCCACTTAAGAGCAACAGAGCACATGATCCTTTGTCAGCTGAATTTCTCTCTTTTGAATATTCCACCATTCAATCTATTTTGGAGAACAGAGTTTTCAAAACAGTGTATGTCACTTGCATGCAATAAAATTAATAGAAGAAAATGTATATAAAAAGGACCCTGATTTATATATCTTCTGTTGGTTTTATTTTCTTTTTTCTTTCCACCAAAAGGCAATACTGAAACTTACCCAAAACATATCTCTCAATTTTTTTGATATCTTGGAGAGTATCACTTTAAAATGTATTTTTGCAGGATGCTACTTTTTTTTACATAGCTCTGAGATTTCATCTTGCCGTTCTAAATAGTATGAAAACAAGTTTCTGTTTCAATGTTGCTCAGTTTGTTTCTGAAACACTCTGCACAATCAGATCTTAACCTTCTTTGGAAGGTATAACGTGTTATGGACACACACATTAAGATACATGTTTGCAAGAATTAGTGAAAAACTTCCTATATAAATTTTATGTGTAGAATGCTGAGTTTTTTGTAGTCTGTAGCTGGTAATAATCAAATGAGGCATCTTAATACATGTCTTTCTGCACTTGCTGGCATTAGGTCAAACTTTCCCTGGGGGCAACATTTGCTTTTCAGTAAAACCCACTTCTGTGGGGTTTTTTTTCCTAGAAAAAGCATGACAATAGAGTACTGGATGGATACAATGAAGTTTCTTGTGAATTTGTATCTTATTAGCATGTATAGGTTGGAAGACATTTGGAACAGGCTTTTTTTCTTTCTAGTTTTGGACAATGTGTAGTCCATTGTTGTCCTGCTCTGTAATGAAAGCTCCTGGTTTTGGGCATAATAGAGGTAATACCCAATTGGTTACTGACTTTTCACTTTAAGTTAGTTAGAATGAGCATTAGATGATCTGACTCCATTTTCAGTCAGCAGATATTTATTATTTGGGTCTTTAATAAAAACCACATATTAGGCACATTGTTTACCTTTCTAGCTTTTTCCTAATTGTTATTATTTAACATCAATCATAGCAATCTGTGCTGCATGCCTGTTGATATGGACAGCTGATACTCTTTATGTAAGGCATTAGAGAAATCTAATTTATCCTTAGAAAGTCTTTTCTTCGTACGTGTTGCCCAAAAAAGTCTCTGAAAGGGTGACCCATCTGCTAAGTAGAATCCATCCCGTGCTCACAAAGGCCGCAAATAGAGCTATGAATACATTTTATGATCAGATGGGATTTTGGCTGGAGGAAAGCATAGGATTAGTTAGAATTACAAAACTATATACTGGATGTATTTGAAGAACAGTCTCTTGTTTAGATGAGTAAATGTGTTTTTTGCCAAAAATCTGGCTGTGTAACTTTAAGGCATGAAGTCATCCCATCTGTTTTCTTAGTGTGGTTTCACTATAGTGCAAGCTGCTGTCAGAAAGAGCCCTTGGGGATGAATGAGCAGAAAGAACTCAGTGGTCTTCTGAAAGGTAGAATAGCAGTTGCTGATTTACATGTAGACTAAATGACTTGTTGTTTCCCTGGGGCTTGGAAGTTAGCTATTAATCCAGTTTGTGTTGGCATATTTGGCATTCAGTCTTTTTGTAGATAAATATGTTATAGATGAACACATCAGCAGTGGGGCAGAAATATCAGAGAATTCGATAAACGATTGTATTTGAAACTCTTTGAGTAATGGTAGCTCTGCTTATTAATCAAGTATATTTTAAAAAATAAAAAATAAAAGAATAATCCCTGGCTTTTGAGTCTAATATAAAAGTCTTGTCTTCCATGCACTGTAACATGCAGCAAGTGTTTGGCGGACTAATTGGAATGCATTTCCAAACTGGGATACACTGAACGCAATTATTATACATTACACAGTGAGTTGGGCATAAGGGCCCTTAAGTAATGACTTTTCTTCCCTGAAGTACAGCTAGACATGATGGAAAATGTCAAATGCCTTTCACATGAAAGAAATTGAGCCACAAATAAGGCTTATTTTTACCTCTGCTGCTCCAGGGTTTCCAGATGGATAGTCTCATTTCTTAAAATCCACTTGGGATACAGAAAGTGTAATGGCCTTTTGGCTCTTTGTGGTGTTGGGCTGTCAGTGATGGATATGATTCTCTGAAAAACTTACAGCTTCCAGAGCAGTAATGTGTTTTTTCCATCTTCTGCTTCTCCTCAGTGGCTGAGAAGACCAAAGAGCAAGTGTCTAATGTTGGGGGAGCTGTGGTGACAGGAGTGACAGCGGTGGCCCAGAAGACAGTGGAAGGAGCAGGGAACATTGCTGCAGCCACTGGCTTGGTGAAGAAGGATCAGTTGGCCAAACAGGTTTGTTGATTTACAGTCTTTTCCAGGTGAAGAAGTGAATGATGAGTGGTCTCCCTGAACTGAGGGGCAGATGGAGTGTTTTCTTTTGTGTCTGTCAGTGGTATGAATGCAGGATGGTTTGTGTTATGCTAAACAAATGAACAGCAAATAAAACGTCTGCAGTTTATAGCTTGTGTTTTAAGTGACTTACAGGATTGGGGAATTTGAGTAGGGTTGGGCATGGAACTTTACTATTCTGAAAAGTCTTAGCAAATTTGGGCCGCGGTTTAAAGTGTGATCTAGTGGTGATTCTGAGCTCAGCAGCTTCTAGTGCAGTCCAGCAGCTGGAGGATCAGTGTACACTCGAATGGGAAGATAACTTTTTTTCCAAAAACTCAGGATTGAAAAACAACCTGCTAGAGCTGAAAGGTCAAACAGCAAATCTGAGGTTTAACAGCACAGTTTGTATCCTCTGGAGATCAAGAGCAGTAGGATTTGTGTGCCAATCCACTGACTGGTGAGATACATTGCATCTAAAGTCAAGATCTAGATGGAGAGTCTCAGTCTTCCATCAACATAGTTACACGAATGCAAAAATGCTTCCAAACTGTTCGGAACTCTTCAGATTAAATTTACTCTAGCTCATCCTATGAAACACTCTGTAGATATTTTTATTCCAGCACCAAGTGAACATTGAGTATTTGCACAATACCAAGTGTTACTACGTTTTTGTTGCGGATAAACTACAGTTACATCCTTCTGCTTACACTAAGTGAAAAGTGACCCCAGGTAGCTGGTGAGAATGATGTTTTCCAAAATGTGTATAGTGGTGTTTGGAGACAAAAATAACTCAAAAGAGGCAAATATCTCCTTTTGTGCTGTTTTCTGGATGAACCTTTAAATGTTAGAAAAAAAAAAAGGATTATGTAGAATATTAGTATTTGCACAAAAACATGGATGTCATGGATTTAGCGTGAAGTAGTTCTATGGTGTATCATATTTCCAGTTAGTGTCTAGAGGAGCTGTTAAAAATGAATCCTTAAAAACTCTTCTTTATCCTTATCTGTTATTGAAGTATATTCCTATCTGTGTGACATCCTATTGGTGCTTTAGTTTGGAGGAAAAAAGGGGTCTTACATTGTGGTAGACATTCACTCCACCATGGTGGATTGGTCTTGAAAACATCTCACAAGCAGTTTTGTTCTCTTTCAAAGCAGTTTTCCTGGGGGGCTTTTTAATCCTTTTTTGTTCAGCTATAAGTAAAATGTTGCTTTTGCTGGTCCTCTGTAAAGGCTTTGTTGAAGATTTATGAAATCAATTATCTAATGAACTGCCAGGAGATAGATGAGTATGGCATGGCCATAGTAGTCTATACCCTTAGTTTCTCCTAAAGCTTTCATAGGTTTTCACTGAGAATATTCTTTTTTGTTTGTGGCTCTTGAAACACAGTGTCATAAGGATCTTCATTATATTATATTCTTCATAATTGCTGTAATATGCAATTACATACTTTAGTATTGACCATACCTAGTTTTTTATCTTAATATTAATATATATATATTGATCTTTATCATTATAAGGTAGGAAGCAAATCTCTGCTGACTTTCGTTTAATTGTGTTCTGAATATTGTAAAGCTTGAATATGAGTCATGATGGCTGTAAGAGAATAAAATCACATCTGTGAAATTAAAGAACGTCCATAATGTACACATGTATTCTACAGCACTATAAATAGCATCATTATTCTGAACTGGTGCTTTGTTCTTTAGATAACACAAAACCATTCGTTTGATTCTTGATGCTGAATAGATGTTTCTAGACTCAGTCATCTGTGCAGTATGGCCATCTAGCTAAATAGTATCTACGGCTCTTAACAGACTGCTCTGCGTCTCTGTCTGGTTTTGCAAGGGATGAGTAGCCATTTCAAAAACGTTAACATCAAAATTCAGTCGTGTAAGGATATGCTACAACCTAGTGTTTCTGCATTCCTGTGCAGTTCAGAGATACATGAGATTGATTTTTACTTGGATTTCTCAGGTAAACTGACAGTTGGGTGGGGACCAGGTATGGGCATTCAGAATACCAGTGGGACACAGGTCGCTTATGTGAAAGTGGGCCTTTATGAAATAAGGGAAGGTACCGACCACACATACAATCAATCAGTATGAGCTGGTGTATTTTATCTCTATAAGGTTATGTTTCTTAAGTCTTTGATACCTCTAGTCTACTCTAAACTGGGAATAAGAGACCACAACTAGTAAATTCATTCCTTGAGCTTGAGCATGACTAGCAGAGCATTTGGCAGATTAATCTTCCTATAGCCATCCCTATTTGGGATTGTCCTAGAGCAAATGGCTGTATACCCCATGTGCAAATGAACGCTTACCTTACTTATGCAGTGTAGGTAAGTCATGGCTTTTGACAAGGAATTGCAAGTGAAGTTTATCCATTAAAAGTGGTTAGAAGCATGATTACAGACTGTTTCTCCACAGAAGACTAAAAGGCATTAGCCAATAATCTATTATTTTTAGTTGGCTTCTAAATATGCGATAAATTATTTCTTCCAGTTCACATGGGCCCACATAATCGAGTCCAAATCCTCCAACTGAACGTAGCAAATGGTGACCTCCTGAGATACCTTCCAACCTGAATTATTCTCTGCGTTGCTATAAAATCAGCTTTTGTGCAACTGGAGGAGTTCGCTTATTTGACATCAGTTACAGGACCAGGGACTGTAAAATAAATATGATTAGCTGCTTCCAAACATGTGTCTGGAAGCCCGTCTAAAGTAATGGTCATTGCTGGGATCTGCTACTAGCGATCTGCTCACTTGTGTGAAAGCCTGTAGTCCTGCGTGGTGACTGGCATTTTTCTTGTGCCGTGATGGAAGTCTGGTTTTGACTTTCAACTCATTGAAAACAGTCATAGTAGTTCTTTACCTGTGGATACAGCAATATTCATGCAAAGGAAATACTAATCAGATTCTTGGCAAAATACTTTCTCAAAGGTTGTCCGAGGTTGCCTAGTGCAGCCTTTAATACTGGCATGATTTGGACCATGAAGAACAGGTTTAATCATCCAGCTGAGGCCAGGCTGGAGGGCTGCTGTCACACCACGCTGTCACCTAGCCACCCATTAGCTGGTGTAAGCAGGCAGTACGAAGTGACGGCTGAGACTAGTGAGTGACAGGACTGACTCGGTAGTGCCCATTGGAGGACTGCCCTGGGGGATTATGCTTTGGCAGAAACTCACTGCTTAACACGGGTAGTGGCGGTTAGTACTAGGCTTGAATTAATTATAAAAGGGTTAACATACTGCAAGTAGCATTTTAATAAATGACAAAACAATTCTTAAGATTTAGATTCCAAAAGTTCTTTCATGCGTTTCCAGTATGCATCTACTCACAAATTACTTCTAATACACACTAGCATTTAGCATACAGCCTGTTAGAAATGGATTAACACTTTATAAACTAGTTGTAAATTTGAGCCCGCTTTTGAAACCTGTCCGTAATAATACTGTTATTTGTAATCGTTTGGACTCTTCCTGGAAGGAGAAAAGAAGTTGCTTCTCTTTTTCATGCTTGCTTCTCTCTGTTAAGAGAAGGTGATAAGCTGAAGTACTGGATTATACAGATAAAAGATTTGTTTTAAATTTATTCTGTGCCTATGCACATTTTATTTCTGTGTAAAGTGTCAGTGTGCTTCTGAATTAATCAAGTTAAAAACAAAGAGTAATGATAATTACATTTACTGTAGAAATGAACATATTTTTTCCTACATTAAGAAAGCTGTGAAATCCTTTGTGTTCTATTTTCAACTCGGCATGAACATATAGATCCAGATAGTATGGAGGGGTACTAGCTAGTGAGCATCTAGTGTATAATATTGCCTGAGAACACGGATTACAAAGTTTATTATTTTCAGATAGGCAATTAAAGAATTGAAGTTCTTAACCTCAATAAATTCATGTAATTTGGTTCTCTATTATCTCAAGAATAAATCAGTTGGTAAGTTCTATGATTTCTGTGGTGAATAATTTTATTTATATTATTCTAGCACCAAAATCCCCAGTCAAGCTGAAACCTCAAGGTTCTTTTAGTACCATGCAAAGATATAGTTAGACAGATTTTATGTGCTTTAGCTCTTACTAAAGTAAACAGAGTAGCAGCCTTGGGAGAGATAAGCCAACTTACTATGTTTGAGATCTGTATGATCTATGTGGATCGTGTTTGCTATCTGTATGTGCTAAATCTGTTTTCTTTCTAGAATGTCTCTCAGTTTAACATGTTTACAGTATATAGCACTGTAAACACAAACTTAAAATTACAGTAGCAGATAACATGTAGATAGATAATATACTCACAGAACAGGTAATATAGCTTGGTTTAATTACCGAGCTTTCAGAGGAAAGAATGACTTAAGTGGGAAGACTGTCAATTTAAGCATTCAGCATTTTTTTCCATAGAAAATATTATTTAACTAAAAGCCCTTGCTAATGTATTTACTATGACAACTAATATAGAAGAATGAAAGCCATGGCAACTTTGCTATGTCTTCTTCCTGCCCCTCCCAGCCTATATTTTTTGAGATCTCATAGAATTCAAACACTGACCTAGCATAAGCAATCAGTGCAGTGGACCCCACAGGTGTATTTCTTATCTTGCTATTTTTCTTTGCCAGAGTAGCTAGTCTTATGAACAACTGAATTTTTCCATGGACCACTATGCATTGCTTAGGGCCAGGGTGAATCCACTTTGAGGAATCACCATAATCAAATAGACCATAATCAAAATGTAGGAGACTTTTTCATGCTTTTTACGGAGAAGCTCCATGAGACATTGTGCAATGCTGAGAATAAAGACATGATGAAACACCTTTCAGTTTTGATGACATGAGAGCAACTTAGTTTTGGTTAGGACACCAAGCACCACAGTGTACTCCAGCCAGCTATTATTAGTTCATTTGGGCAATCTTACTGGGAGAAGGGATGCAAACCCTGTAAGTGTCTCTGAAAATTTC